ACTATTCATAATAAAGAAAGCAAAACAACCAAAAATTAAAAAAATAGATATAAAAAAAGAAAACGAAGAGAAAAATTGAATTGAAGAAAAAAAAAAAGAAAGACCTGAAGAAATTTTCAAGTGTTTGAGATTTTTGTGTATTTACCATTGTTTTTGTATTCCCATCCAGCTAAATCATCAAGATTTTGAATGTTGATTCTCAAGTTGTCCAACCTGAGCGATTGGGGCAACACAATCTTCCTCACCAATTTCATTCCTTTGAACGAACCAATGTATAAAAAAATATAGGAGAATAGAAAAGAGAAAATAGACTTTGGAGATTTGCTTCTGACGTGTTTTCGTTCAACTGTTCAGTAGTGATGTTAGCTAATCAGTTCTTTGCTACTTGATGGACGAAAATAGATCAAACATTTTCCTCTCACTTCTCTAAATGACCCATTTATTAAGGACTTTTAAAATATACAACTTATTTAATTGAACGAACTATGTAGACTATAGATTGCAGCTCAACCACTTACCCAAAATGGCCTGTGTTGATATATTCCATACTTGTAATTAACACGATAATAACGTGTCAAATATTTCAGACAACGTGTCAAATCAATGAAGCTAATTTGAGGAAAGAATCTGATTTAAAACCAAACCTAATGACCATTCACATTAGCGATAATTTTGTACATGTAAAAATTGCGATATCCACAGTAAATAAAAGAAGTAGAAATTATTTGGTCTTTTGGCTACAATAATCCTGCGTTTGATAACAATAAGAACAATCAAATGGGTCTAAAATATAATAATACACATTTATAATAAGTGAAGCCAAGTGGAACTCTGAAAATACATTAGCAAAATCCCATTTGTATTTCCTACAATATAAATAAAATTAAATGCATTTATAGTAATACGTTTGTGTGTGTGAGAAAGAGAGAGCGAGAGAGGATCACGCACACATACACACACACGCACACTGAGAGAGAGAGAGAGAGAGAGAGAGAGAGAGAGAGAGAGAAAATAGAGGTAATTTATTCTTAAAATAAACCCAATCACACAGGTTACAAAATAGTGTTATGTCTTTCGATAATTGTGTGTGCAATAATATATTTTGAGGGAGAAGAACATAAGGTGGAGTTTAATAATTCATTGTGACTCAAACTGGACGAATTCGTGGTTTATAGAAACCTGCGTTTCGTGGTGAAAGAAACACATGTTATTTTCTTCAGTTAGATTTATTTTCTGCATTTTTCTCTATTTTTTTTAACAACAAAACTTTTTAGGTTCCCAAATGTAAGCAAATAAGAACAGTGTGCAAATGCTATGGAATGAAATTAAAAAGAAGAAAATAATGGATATAATAATGTCTAAATGATCGGACGTCACTGATGTCAGTTCTTCTCGTGTTTTAACTTCTTTAAATATCATGAAAAGGAGAAACAAAGGTAAAATAATACTTAAAAATGTAAAAATAAACAATTGGCAAATCCACAAATTGTGGACAGGTTTTGCGAGGAGATATTTTCTTACAAGACACTCAGGCACCGAGGAAGGCGAATGGCAGGCGCCCAAGAGAGCGGTCGGCCAAAGGGCCGACCTTACTTTTTATAGATGCATAAATTCCAATATCTGCTTATGGAAGAAAAAAATATAATTTTTCATAATATGTTCTTAAACTGAGGAGAGCTAAAGTCCTCCAACGGGAAACACGCAGACCTTTTGAAGTTTTATATTCAAAGGGTTATTTTGCGAAAATATTTTCTTTTAGAAATGCATAAATAAATATAAATACTGATGTGTATCTGTAATCGGACAGATATTTTAGAATGAAGAGCGTAGATGTGTGTAAATATATACAAATGTGGTTCCTTTATTTCGTGTATTTGTAGCAGTTTGTAGGTGTATTTCGATGTATTACAAAGTATATATAACTGATAGATATTCTTTTAGACGCGCACACGTATATTCATACAAATGTATATGCATGAAATTCCACTGTGTGTGTGCGGGGAGAAAGAGAATGATGTGATTTTTTTTTAATGTTGAATAACCATACGCAACCTATACACAGAAAAATAAATAATCGCCACAAACACAGATAGAACTCACTGTTCAATCAGACTAGCTCGCAAACTATTACTCCACGCAGAGGTGATCTCAATCGCTACCAAGTGAGCCACGACCTTAACCACATTTTTATTGTTATTGCTTTCGAAAAAAAATGCTTTGTGTAACTTATTTCATCGTTGTATGTAAGCGCGTGTGCATACACGCATGCACATACACGCATGCACATATAAATGTTATAGTAATCATTGTCTGCAGGACTATTTTGCTAACAATTTCTCTATGACGAGGTCTCAAATTCAGGTGAGGGACTGCATTCAGTTAAGCAATGCTTCACTATATAAGTGGTGGTCTATTTCTGTGATTTTTTATAGGTTCAGAGGCACGCACGAATAAATTTCTTTTTTCTTTTTTCATTTATTTGAAAGACATCCAACAAGACTACACTTAAGAACTGACAAATTAATAGCATTATTGATTCAGCCACGAAAAACGCAAAATGGTGCTAGATGGCTCAGGTATATCTCTAGAAATGATAATTACTTCTATTAATGTATATGGACGAAAAGAAAGTTAAATTGAAGTACCTTGACGACATAGAAGAGCAATAGGACTTTAAAAATCTAAGTCTGTGCAAATTGTCCTATTTTGTTTGTATTATTATACATGACGGGAACATAGCTTCACCTTTCATTTTATTTAGGGATCGCGTTTCTCAGGCAACTAACCTTGTGGAGAAATTAAAACATCCCATATTTCAAATAAATATATTTATGATCTGACTTGCAGATAATGTTTTTACCCACCCCCGCAAAAAATAGTTTAGATGATGATGATGATGATATTATTATTATTATTATTATTATTATTATTATTTGCATCTTCAGACCAGTTGTTCTACTGCCAAAAGTATTAAAAGAAACGCATTAATTTTTTTACGTTTCACAGATTTTACAATGTTCAAGCAGGGTCCTGATATGTGTCTCTCATATTTCTCTTATATTCCGTTGCAAAATCTATATAAGCTTTTTAAACAGAATTTCCTTTAACATACTCTGTCTATGATTATTTCAGTGTTGAAACCGGTGTTGTGATTGTGGTAGTAGATCGATCTGTATAATATATGTATAATAATGTATGTTTATGGCGTAAATCGAATATTTTGGGGTTATTGGAAATATTAATCCATTATATTTCGAATGAAATGTAATAGCAGTATTGTCAATAGAGAGATCATAAATGTCGTCCTTTCATAATATGCATCTATATTTTTAAAAGATTAAATTTATTTCACTTTCACAAAAAAATGAGAATACGTTTGCTTTCTATTGTCCTATGTGATATTAATGTGTATGTAAAGTTTTTCCTTATGAGAAAATATAAAAGATATGAAATAACGTCCAAATTATTGAATTAAATATTCTTTATGCTTTTTTCTTTCATTATTTCGCTGCTTTCTACCATTTTCCAATGCTTTTTTCTCTTTTGTGAAAATGTTTTTACAGAATTTGAATATACACTCAAATGTTCTCCATTTCCAGCTCTTCGAAAAATGTAAAATGTGCAAAAAGCCTTCTAGTCTTTACGCATTTTACATTTTTGAATTCTTTAGCGAAGTTAATCGGCCAACGATTTCCATACGTACATCTCGAATGAAATTGCAAAATACGTTGTTCGTGCATTTGTTTTGTATTTTGCTTCTCTCATTTCTTTTATGAAGGCAACTCATAACATTTTCATTTGATAAATGAACGAATAAAAGCACGGTCAAAGAAATGTTTATAAAGATCAATACCTGGAGACCAATCATAAATTCTCAGCTGAGCTACACTTTTTTCTTTTACTCATTTATTTCCTATATTTTTCCTTTTACTTCATATGTTCTAGCGAGCTGTATTTTTTTGATGTCACTGAAGCTACTCTTATTATTGTGACAAATTATCATTTTTTATCTTTTTCTTCCTTCTTTTCTAGTGTTATCTGTTGGTTCCAGTTTCAAACTCTGATCAATCCCCATTTTCTGTTTGCTATCTTTGTTTAGATATTTCTGTATCTGTATCCTTAAATTGAAAGAAGCTTTAGCTTAGATTTCTGATTCCCTCAAACCAATTTTTCTAGATGAACTGCGTCTGTTTTTGAGTAGATTTTATCCCATCTTACAGTTGACCATTCAATTCAAATATTATAACTTCACCTCGTCAATCTTTTATCTTATTCCCAATATATTTTTTCTTTAACTTTTATTTAATTATTCAAAATTGTTGTCTATATCTTTAATTATAAATATATATATATATATATATATATATATATATATATATATATATATATATATATGTGTGTGTGTGTGTATGTATGTATATATATATATATATATATTATTTTTTCATGAATAATTCACTATCCTAATGATAAAGAAAGTAATTTTACACAAACATCAGTAGACCCTCTTCAAGATTGAATATTATTCGCATAGACTGAACATTATACAGATGAAAGTCAATTAATAACTATGTATCAGGTTATAGAATTATTCATCCACCTATATATGTTGTCTCGAAATAAATGGCTAGATATGAAGCACCAAGTATGAATGGAACTCACTAGCTGTCAAAATGACCGTAGCTTTAGGAGAAGCACCTTTAAAAGTACTTTTATTTAGAGTCAACTTTATCTTCATTTAGAATTACGTGGAGGCTGATGAGCAAATGAAGGAGACCGGTTTGAAATAACTGACTATATTCCACATTAGCCGCTATCATCATCATCATCATCATCATCATCATCACCATCATCATCATCATCATCACCATCATCATCATCAACTTCTTCTTGATATTCTTGTTGATCTTGTTCTTCTTCTTCTTCTTCATCATCATCATCATCATCTCGTTGTTCTACTTCTTTCTCACATTCTTTTCCTGTTCATTTACTTTTGGTAGTTCCTTTTTATCTCTGTCATTTCATTTCTATTTCAGTTGGCTTTTCTCTATCCAATATTTACAATATTTTATGCGAGGCTTCGCTTACATTTTATCCATTTGCCGCGTTCGCCCCTCTTTATGTTTTATTTGTTATTCTACGTCACTGACTAAGAAACCGTTTCTTTATATTTTTTGACATTTTTTCAGCAACGAAATTGAATACATGTAATTTTTTTATTTGAAGCAATATACATACATGTTTTGTTTATTTGCATTGCGTCTGTTTGCTTCTCACAAAAAGGCCAGATTGATGATTTTTTCTATAAATATCAGGATGTTAGACTATTTACATGCACTCATATCTATCTATCTGTCTATCTATCTATCTATCTATCTATCTATCTATCTATCTATCTATCTATATATATATATATATATATGTATAGAAATTGGATCCATTCCCAAATAAAGATGTGCATAGGCATAGATACGTTTAATATTAAAAATATGAACAAACTGGTCAGCATAAACGCATTCAAAACAATTATCAATCACTATATGATAATTGTTATTATTATGTCTAAATATGATTTATTATATTTTCATGGTTAAGTAAGTTTACATTTCCTATTTCCTGCGACCTTTCCCTATTATCCATGAGGGAATTTCGGACTTTAGGACTTTAGCAACTAGGAAAGTGGTTATGATCGCTGTATAGAAGTTTAAGGGAAATTATTTGAACGACGTTTTAGCGTAAGTAATATCTAAAACTTGAAATTAAAAATAACATCTTATAATATATTCCGTTTTTGCTTATCCCCTCGAGTATACTGGGTGAGTAAGGAGAGGTTGGTAATGTTGACAAATGCAAATTCACTGTAAAAAGTCACTTCCAAAGAAAGGAAACAAAATTAAAAAAATATACATTTTTTTTTAAATTCAAAGTAACACCATATCTTGACTTTCTCGAGTTAATAGTAGGAGAGGAAAAATATTGCATCTTCGCGATTCGAAGAGCCCAAAGATTCCATAAAATCCAAGTAGAGGACACTGATATTGGAGAAAGAAAAATACTTCAGAGATCTAATTGATACATCAGAGAACTCTTCCATGATGAAAGAGGACTGTTTACAAACTATCAAAGGACAAGAAATATTAAAGTCTGAAGTGAAATCAGCACTGGCCAAATTGAACAAGAAGAAATCAGCAGGACCAAATGGAATTATAATGCTGGCAGCCTTAGATGATTTCGGCATTGGAAAGATTGCAGACCTATTAAGTTAAATGTACAACAGTGGTGATATACCAGATCTAAGTAGATACATTTTCATATCTCTGCCTAAGAAGCCAGGTGCTATCGAATGCAAACTCCATTGGACAAACAATGGAAATCGGACCAGAAGCGTGCAGTTTCGTTAAAAACAACGGAACAAGGAATACGATATTTATGCTCAGAAAGATACCAGAAAGAGCAATTAAAAGGGCAAGAGGATGAATACCTATGCTTTAGAGATCATGTAAAAGTAATTGATAAAGTACTTCGCAAAGAATTGTTGGAATTGTTAGGTAAGATTGGTGTATTTCGGAAGGAAATTAGAATAACCTAGAACTTATATTGGAAGCAAACCACCTCTTTTTAGATAGAAATGGATTCAGTAAATATACAAAAATAAAAAGGGCGTACGACTAGGATGTGTGTCTGCTCAACTGACTTATTCAACTTTTATAGTGAGGCGATTCTGTGATATATACCAGGATTTATTATTGTCGGTCACAATCTTAACAACATTAGAAATGCAAATGATACAGTGTTGATAACGCACAGAAAGGAAACTACATGAACTCCTAGTAAAGGAAAGCAAGAAGAAAAGATTAATCATCAATTGTACGAAGACAGAATGTATGATTGTTAGTAAATATGAGACCAAAATGCGAATTACAAGTTGGAAATATCCAAATAAATCAAGTACAACAATTTAATTATCTAGGAAATAAAAGGGCGTAGAAAATGTGACACTTACAGGACATACTGAAGACAAATAGGTCAGAGGAAAACAAGTCATAACCTAACAAGCTTATGTAAATGGATGGCTGAAAGGGAATTAGAAGACAAAAAGACAAAATTTCTCAAGATCTACAAAAGACAGGAAATTGTGGAGAGCCATGATCGGCCACGTATTGAAAGGACACGGTAAATAAGAGAAGACGAACAATATTTAAAATGTATATAAAATACTGTAAATGTATCGGTAAGACACACGCAGTAATAAATAAATAATCACTTAAAATTAACAAACAACCCGATACAATAGCTATAAAATAAACGCATACTGGCCCGTAATTATTTCTATTGACAGCCATCAGAATAATTTAAAATTGCCCTTCTTACCTATCCAGTAGCTGTGACCATAAACTCGTAATAACTAATATTTCTACCCATAATTCCCTAATCACTAGCATATATTAATAGTAGAGCTACTTCCCACTCCGCAAAGATTACATTGAAGCATGAAACCACTCAATATATATATATATATATATATATATATATATATATATATATATATGTTTTCAGTCAAAGATAATATTATTTTAAGATTCAAGATCACCTTTCTACTGATAACTGTGACTATGTTACACATTCTCAAAGAGATATGCAGTTGCTGATTAACAGGTTTTATACAGATTGTAAACTGTTTTGAAAATCCCATTGAAGAAAACTCTTCTCCAGATAAATTGGATGTGTAGCCTAAAATGGGTGTTGACATTAAGGTGTTGGAAGCTGTTAAAAAGATTCTATACATTGGAAGTACTTTAAACCATCATACCACTTTAAATAATGCGATTAACCTCGACCTGCAGAAATTTCCTGAAGCTTTCAAGACACTTGATTCTCGTATTTGGTTACAATATGGTATGCCTTTTATTTCAGTCCGTCTATATTCGTATGAAACGTTGGTTCGTTATCATAAAGACATAAAGCAATTCGAAATTTTCCATCAATGCTATCTCATGAAAATACTTAATGTCTACTGGTAGTGCCTTATTCCAGAGTATGTTATTCTTTAACATACAAGCACTATGTAGAAACAATTATCCACAAATATCAATTACAGTGAGCAGGGCATCTGCTAAGTCTTTGAGAGGATCTTTTGTCTAAGAAAATATTCTATGCAAAACCTAAAAGCCATAAGCGAATATTACACATGACCAGGACATATTTTAACTATTCCTTATTAGACTCACTTTCTCGGTTTTTGTTTTAATAGGAAATTCGCTAAAATGTAAAAAAAAAAATGGAGACAGACACGACATTCTGGAGCTGTTCTTCATGTTGAAGAATGTATCAAGCGAGAAAAAGTAAAAAGTGCAGTTGAATAGAGAGATTGTATTGACTGAAAGGATTCCTGCAAAATAATATATATATAATATATCGGTCGAAAGTCAAAGATATCGATGGAAAAGATGGCGACATGCTATTTTTTCAACTAAGGTATTGAATTTAGAATACAGTTCTAAAGCAATTCTTGCATGAAGATGTGAGCAAAAAGAAAATAACGAGAACTCTTTTTAAACACGCATTTTTTTTATGTTGAAATAATTTTGGTTGTTTAAAATTCCAAGTGTTGCAGACGATAAATGACTTTTTCATTAAAGAATTTTGAAAAGTTGAAACCATGAAATTCAATCACGGGAAGAGATATCGAACTTGAATAGAATAATGAATTCACCATAGAGAAAAATAATGATTGAATGTGTGTACATTATTTTAGATCACACGTATACACATACACATACATATATAAAAGGCAGAATGTGTGTGTGTATGTGTGTGTGTTCGTTTATATGTTTGATCGGATCTCCTACATTTTTCAACCGATTTCAACCAAATTTGATAAAGTTACTGCTAATGTCCTGCGGAGGTTCTGACGGCGTCAAAAATTGATTTAAGTTAATATTTAAATCAATATTATTGATTTTTATTTTTTGATCGGACGCACGCGTGTGTAATTATATACGCTTACTGCACACAAGCAAATATGGGCACTTTTCATGGCAGAATTAATACCGGTAGCATAATTAGAAAAAAGTCGGATTTAAGTGCTTATATGGGAATAAGAAAGGACAAGAATGGCCATATTTTGATTTCGGATGCAAAAGTTATCACAATGAAGGATTTCTGTCGCAGCCGAACTTTGCGCTCCAAAAGCCAATCGGATTAGTGTTATTAGTCACGCGTAGCTCGCGCGATGCGTAATGATTGCTTCTGATTGGCCCATTTACGCTCCGGGGTCATGTGAGATCATGTGTGAACGGGTGGGGGGTGTCACGCGTGCGCGTATCAAGCATCTCAAATGGGGTAGAGATTTCAGGTAGCCTACTTTTATTTTAGGATTTAACGCTCATATCATTGTTTTTAAAAAGGCTCTTTTAATGTTTCAATGCAGGCATGCATTACTTTCCATGATTTTTGCATTTTCACAGTAAAGTAAACATCAAGGCCATTGTAAAAGGGATTTACAGAGCTACATGTCAAATTTTGCCAGAAACATCAGTAAAGACAAGGTGAAATTGCTGCTTTTTAGGTGTTTGTAGCCCATTTAGTCTACTAAAGCATTGAAAAGGATTGAATTCAGTGAGCACTTCACGCCACCACTTTTAAGCCAAGTGGACAGAATCGACTCTCCACAATTGTCCAATTTGTCAATTTTTCACATTTGATTGCATTTTTTCATTCGAGGGGACACCGGAGACTGTTATGTCTTTTCATGCCGTTTACATGTAGCAAAAGGCATCTACTCACTATAATTTTACTACTGCGCTTCGCTGCCCAAGAAAGTTCTTGCAAGTTTTCATCTAAATTCGTGCTACTTAAATGCCTTCATCATCCATCAGTAAACGAAATTAACATTGCTTCAAATTTTGTTCGTAAGAAGTGTAAAAACGCTTGTATTTTCAAATTTTGATCAATAAAAGTACCACATATCTCCAGGCTGCTCAAAATTTTCAAAGAAAAATGAAGCTAGAAAATCCCATTTTCTGATTGGCTGACTTTGAGAGACTGCGCTACATTGGTGACGACGTAAATAAAAAAGGCAATGCCTATATTGGGATAATTGCCAGCGCTACATAGCTTTCATATTTATCAATAAAAAATCCGATAGAATAAAGTCGCCAGATACAATTCTGAAACGTCATCCGCCACTGTGCACTGCTTTGAATAACCCAGCTGGAGGTTAACCAATCGCGTCAACTGTTCAAAGTTGCTGCGAGCTTATTGGCACGGTTGCAGGCGTTTAACCTTGGGCCCATCCAATTATACGTCTCCTTATTATATGCGCTCAAGGTCAACCGGCCAACTGCCTCTTTATACCATAACTCGCAAGTGTGTTCACACTTCTGCGATTACTGTTCCGCACTTGGCTCACTTGGTTCGCTTCTTACGGAAGTTGTTGATTACGTAGGTAG